ATCATGTAAAGGTACAAGATCCCAATGGTGAATGTAACTGTATTTTATATCTAAAATGTACCAATAAACTCAATGAAAAAAGAAAATGTATATAGTCCTAAGGAGTAACTCCTTGGAATTAAATCAAAGTGTACATCATAGGATTGGAAGCATTTGATTTGATTGATACTTCATTTTGGTACTTATAGATAATCTTTGTCCTTTTTAGAAAATTTTGGTAGAACAAAAGACAGAAAATATTAGTTTTTAAATTATAGCCTCAAAGTCTATTTAAGGATAATGAAATGTCAGTTTTATGAAATAAGTAGGGATAAAGGTAATTAATTCTGTTATTCTGTATTTTATAAAAATGTATAGCAATTGTGTGAGATTCTGGGATGTTGTTAACTTTAAAATTTCTTCTGTGGAATTATTTATGAGTGCTTAAGGAGCAAATCCTCAATCAGAGAAGATGAGGAAAGGATATGGGAGAGAGTAACTTTGAACAGAGGCGGGAAGGTCGGTGTTCACTGTAGAGACGCAGGGGTCGTTTGGGGCCTGGGGTGTAGCTCAGTGGTAGATTATTTGCCATACACAAGGCCCTGGGTTCAGGCCCCAGTACCACAAAAACAAAAGATGGGTTTGGGGAGGACATTTGTTTCCCACTGCCCGGAAAGTCTTGACTTCAGTCTAGTCACACAACCGTCAATATTCTTACCTTTTATTAATGAAAATTAATTTTTTTCTCTTTTGGAATTCACTGTACATAGCAGTTGGTAAGCTTGTGAACTAAGAAACATTAATGGTATACTGATGGCTTGTGTTTATAAAGCATTTCTTAGCAAGTAAGATACTGCTAAGTTTCAGCAGGTAGGTGCAAGAAATGACCTTGTGTTCTCTCTCCCTGTTTCTGTCTCTGTCTTTCTCCTGAAACAGGGATCTCATTATATTTCCCAGGCTGACCTTAAACCCCTAGGTTTGAGTGATCCTCCTGTTTCAGCCTCCTGAATAGCTTGGACTACAGACATACACCACAGTTCCTGGTTCCCTCTTTTTCTTTGTTAGTAAAACCAGCATTTCTCTGAAGTGGTCTTACTCTTTTTTTTTTAAGGAATTTTTCTTTAAAAAATTTTATGCAATAATATAAAATGCCAAGAATTCGAACATTTCATAAAATATACTTGGTGTTTCATTTGTTTTTTTGTTTCGTTTTGTTTTGTTTTGTTTTTAGACAGTCTTGCTATGTAGTTCAGGCTGGCCTTGAACTCACTGTAGCCCACACTGGCCTAGCACTCACAGAAATCCTTTTACCTCTTGTTGAGATTATGGGCAAATGACGTATTCATATGTATTTCTGGAGTTGTCTTTTAGCTAAGGTTATTTTGTTATTCAAATATTACGTTAATTTGGAGGACAGTAATAGAGAATAGATTTTGATAATGTTCTTTTAGCCGTGATTATAGTTATACATTCTTTTTATTTTCAGTCAAAAGAATTATTTTTGTAAAGCATTAATAACACAGTTTTATATATTTAACCAGCCATGGATACAAACAAGCTAGTTTAAAAAGAAAAAAATCAAGGACACCAGGAAATCATGAAGCACAGAAGGATCCAGCAGATTCTTTTTGAAAATCAGTCTTTAGCAGAAAAAAAAAACACTTTAAGAACTTATAAATGTTGTTAGAATAAATTTTTTAAAAAAGTGAACAGAATTAGTAAACATACTTTATAAGCATGTGTAATGAAATCATAAATGATAACGGATCATAAACACATTTACTATTTTTCTATTTCAGATATTTGAATGGTGGTATTTTCGCAAATACGGAACATCCTTCATTGAACAAGTCTCAGTAAGCCACTTGCGCCCCCTACTGGGAGGGGTTGACAACAACTCCTCCAACAATTCTAACTCCAGTAATGGGGACTCAGATTCCAACAGGCAAAGTGTCTCAGGTATGGAAAATTTCTTACAAAATTATGAACATAAGGCAGTAAGAAAGTTTTAAAATATTAAGCCTCTGAATGATCTGAAAAATCTGTATCAGAGAAGTAGGATATAAGCATCTCAGGGAAAGGAAATGTTTACACTGTTTATTTTACTTGTCCTCCCATTTGGTGTAGCTCATAATCATTTAGATCAATGTTCCCAAGCTGAGACTAGCCTTATCACTGGTAGTTATTCAGATTTCAATGAAGGGATATATTTTCTTCCATGATAATTGAGAATCTTGTGTCTCACTAAATTTGATCATATTACTCATCTGCTTAAAACGCTTCATTAGTTACCATTCCTTTAAAGGTAAAGCCCACATTCCAGATTCCATAATACAGGATAGGCTCCTTCTAATTTACCTTGCTAACTTCACCTTTTGTCACAATCTGGTCCCTTTCTTGTGTCCAGCATTCTAGTCACATGAAGCCACTTTTCATTTCTTGTATATGCCATGTTTCTCATGACTGTGTGCCTAAAAATGTTTCCTTTTTTTGTGTGTGTTTGTTCATCTGTCACTACCCAAATTAAATGTCAATGTCTGAGAAGCCTTTTTTGATAGGTTGTACACTTCTATCTTCTTTCATTGATCCTTAATATTTTTTACCTTTAGCAACACTAATCAAATTGCATTGTAACCTTTAAGGTATGATTATATTATAGCATCTCTAGCATCTTTCAGTGTCTATTATATCTTTGAAATTCAGTGAGCAGATGAGTCCATGCAAGACCTATATGTTCTCTGTTTATAAAACAAGAAGAAAAATATAATTTCCTAGCTCAGTATCTTCATTAATTTCATCAAATATTTTCTAAGTTCTTATTATGAATCCTGCTTTGTACTGGTTCCTATTAATATAATGAATAAAGAAAAATCAAAAGTCCTTTTTCTGTTGAAATACTCTGTCTGTTCAAGGAAACAAAATGGTAAGTGCTGTGATTGTGTGAGGGGAACATACAATGCTATGTAGAACAAAGGAGGAGTTCCTCACCAAATTGAGAAGGGGCACCAGTTCTGAGACTTGAAGGGTAAGAGAAGTAATTAAAGAGCTAGTTTAGATCTTTTTCTTATACTTTATAATAACTTAAAATACATTCATAGACTAGCCAGGTTATAAATATCAATAAACATTGTACACAATTTTGTTCCTGGGGTCAATTCAATGCTCTTTTAATAGACGCTTTGCCAGCCAGACATAAGTGGTACTGGGCATCTCTTGGTACACATTTATTTCATAACTTGCATAAGAGATGGCTCCACCCAGGTAACATAGTTGTTTGGGGGTTTGTAAACACATCTATCTACCTTATGAAAAATAGAAAGAGACCTTGGCAAAACAAAATACTATTTTAAACAGTGATTCTTAAATGTGGCTTATTATTCTTGTGTGAAAAATTGTTCAGAGCTGTAGAATTTAGTCCAATACTTTTTCTCCAACTAGTGACAGGATGATATGGCTTTTTCCTTTCCTCTGTTAAAATGATGACTTTTGGGGGTGGATCTTTCAATGCTGAACCAACACTGCCATCCTTATAACAAAACCACTTTCTACATCCTGCCAGAGCTGACTTCTGATAGTTTGTTTTGTTAAACAAATTTCTATCTATGTTCATACTTTTTTCTTCTATTATCTTTATTTTAGGATTAGCACAATGTTGATTTCCTAAAATGAGGGGAGAAGTGTTCCTTCTTTTTTCTGCTTTAATTGTTTGATATAATTTATCAGTTAAAATGTTTATGAGCCTGCTGTTGTCATATAGGTAGGTTTTCAAGCTAGGAATATACTTTCTTTAATAGGTGCTATTCAAATTTTATATTTCCTCCAGAGTTAGTTTCATTAATTTGTCTTCCAAGGTACTTCTTAGAAGCTGTCAAATTTATTTCAAAAAAGATTTTTGTAATATGCTTTCTATATCCTTTTAAATTCTGTAAAATCTGTGGTAATGTCTCCTAGATCTTAATATTGTAATTAAAAAAATGTCTAACTGATATTGTGTAACAGGAAGAAAAGGTCTAAAAGAGCAGGGGAATTGGGAGGGGTAGGGGAAGGGGAAAAAGGGAAAGGAAAACATATGAGAAGAGGAAAAAAATGGAAACAAGGTCTTTGCAAATAGGGAAGGGTGCAGGGGGTGAAGGGAGGGCAAGAGAAGGGGAAAAAAAATAAGAACCAAGAGATTCATGTAATGGTACAAGATCCCAATGATGAATGTAACTGTATTTTATACCTAAAATGTACCAATAAAGTTAATGGGGAAAAATTGTTCAGTCATCATCACATTAGCAGTTGTGGAAAATTTTTATCACTTTGCATCTGCTGTGAAGGTCACACAGATCAAATGTGTCTGCCTCAAGTTCCTATATTCTTTAAATGTAGATAATGAACAGATCAAAAACAGAAAGCATGCTTATGTAAGGGCATTCTTACATTTTCATTAAAGTTCTTTCTCCCTAATTTAAATCTCCTGATATACTTTAATGCAATGAAAAGATCATACTCTTCTTATTATCACTATTATTTTGCTCTCTTTTATAATAGGTCCCATGGTTAAGCCTATTTTTTGCAAGAGGCAATCTACGCCCTTTAAAAAATATGTATATTCAGCCAGGCATGTACCTGTAATCCCAGCTAGTTGTAGGGCTAAGAAGGCAAGATCGCTTGAGCTCACTAGTTCTAGACCAGCCTGAGCAACATAGCGAGACCCAGTTTCACAAAAAAAGATAAAAATATAATAATAATAACCATGGAAATTCTGTTTTATTTCTATGAAGTTTTTACCTTTCTAAGAGTGAACTTTTGAATACTGTTCCACTGATATTTACTGAGTACGTCCTATGCATTCCATATTTCTCTTCATTTCCTGTATACTAGATATAGCATTTATGGTCTGATTTCATAAAATCATTTAAATAATTATCTTTAGAAAGTGGGAATTACCTTGTCTAAGTATATAGTTAGGGCTCGTTCTGCCAACTTATTCCTTATATGTGGGCTTTAGTATGTGGCTAACTCAATTCAACAAGCATGTATGCTAGTATGGAAGTACCAGATACTTGGAAACCACTTCCCATTTCTCTCTGTGGTATTTATTTTTGAATCAGACAAAAAACTGTGTAATACATTATCCACATTTATCTCTATTCTTAATACTTCCTGTTTCATAATTTGGTTTCAGTTAAGAATAAATGAAAGAGAAGATCCACAACTGAGGGTAATCAATGAATTTCCTTGAAATAGATGAATTTGTTTTAAAATTCCTTATTCCTCTGTCTCAGTTACTTTCTCATTTCTGGGACAAAATACCCAACACCTTCACAAGTTAAAAGAGGAAATCTTTATATCCGCTCCCAGTTTGTAGAGGTTTCAGTCTATAGTTAGCTGGCTCCAAGGCAGGGCAGCATGGCAGGGGAGAAACAGTGCACGTAAGTCATGCAGAAAGCAGAACAGTGAGCCTCCCTTCTTTCATTCCCTTTTTATTCCACCCAGGCTACAAGCCTATTGGTTGGTGCCACCCATACCAGGGTGGGCTTCTGTTTTCAGTAAATCCATTTAGCCGCACCTAGACTATGCTAAACCAATCAGTAGACTAATTCACTTATTGCACCCTTAATTCAGTGTCACACACCCATGATCCAGCCACCTCCAAAAGCCTTGCCTATGAGTACAGGAGACTTTGGGGTGGCAGCTAGTTATAAGCCATAGCACCTTCATAATAAAAAAAACAACTATTTTGTTAGTAACAGAAATGTGAGGCAGATTTTCTTGGAGCATCACAAGACACATCTTTGCCGAATCTTACATGAAATATAATGTGACTAAAATACTTCCACAGACATTAGTAAAGGTAGCTTAATAACTTTGTTTATTTAAAAGATCATCTTAAAAGTTAAAATTAAATTGAAAGTATCAGTGATGAACATTTATCTATCTGAAAACGCACTGTAGCTCTTTCCTTAAAGAATCATTTGTTTTGATTAAAATCTGAAAGACCTGGCCTACCTGAGAATGACTTGGGATGTCAGTGGTAGGGTGAGGAGGGGTGTGTTATGGTTAGAAGGAAGACTGTGTATTTTAAAACCTTTAGTGATCTGAATACAAACTTGCTCAAAGTTTGCAGTGATCGATCGTTGTCTGTGGGTGAGTGGTTAATTACACAGTTTCTTACTGTAGCCATGCTTCAGTTTGTATGGTGGAAGTTAACATTTGTGAAACTTTTACTTCCATTTTTTCATTTGTGAGCTAAACTGCTGTTTTCTTCCTAATAGTTTCTGATAAACTTTGCTGATATATTTCATCATTTCACCATGTTTTTCACTGCCATTTCTTAATTCAGTACAGCTGATGAACTAATGATGCAGAGTGATTTAAAATCTGACCAACTTCTCCCTGTCTTAAGGAAGGGAATGCTCAGAGCTCAGTAACATTCTCAGTTTGTGACCCTCTCCAGACTTTCTGCAAGGTCTTTAAAGCCAGATCTCTAATAAAATGGAAAAGGCCCAAAATAGTTTTAGATTCTGGTGAACATTTAATAAACTTATTTTATGATTTCTACATTATTTGCTAGAGTTGATTGACTAAAGTCAGAAATGACGAGTGAAAAATATATAACAGATGCAATTAAAGACAACCATCTTGGCAGTATTCTTGGAGACAATAGTATACTATCTAATATAAAGCATTTCAATAAAAATGGCCTTAAAACTCTTCATAGAAGAATTTGAAGCAGTAACATATTTGTTGAAATGAAAGTTATCGTTGCTTTGTACCTTTACTTATGATCTTTTATCCCAATGCTGTGAATCAGTTAAGGATCAGGCTCCCCACCCCCTACCCCCACTAGCAGTATGGGGATTGGAGATTGAACCCAGGGACTCCAGCTAGGCAAGTGCACTGAGTTACATCTCAGCCCTTTTGTTTTTTATTTTGAGACAGACTCTTGATAAGTTCCCATGCTGCACCTCCTGCCTCAGTCTCCCACGTAGCTGAGATTATAGGGGTGCACCACCATACCCAGATGCTAATTGTACTCTAAATGATTGTTTAGAGTTAATCTATATGATATAGAGGATTGAGTACAGTATTTATTTCTGAGCTATCAGAGCTAATAAATAGAGACACAATCACATATGAGAAATCCATTTTCATGTAGGTAATCTGATTGTTGTAATACATCCAGTGAAACTTTAGCTAGGGCTTTTGTTGTCATAACTTAGAACAAAAATATTTAAAAGTCCCTAATGTTTCCCAGAGGAGTTTTCAAAACTGTTCCTCTAGTAAAAAAATTGAATTACGGTCACAGGATTTTCAAAAGTGATGTTACAGGTTAACAGATTTGTTGTATACAATAATTAAGAGTTGGGAAGTCTGGACACCAAGCCTTAATCTTATTTACTATGGGGAAATTATCTTTCTGTTCTTTCCTTTTTATTTTGCTCTTTTATGTAGGGGGTATAGATGACTTGAACTTTAAGCACTTTTGTAGAAAGGATGAATGAAAATCAAGCTAACAGCTATGACAAAAGTTGCTTCTACTGTTGTTTATAATATGGCTTTCAGGTTGAAAGTTTTAGGAAGAGATGATAACTCTCTAGTATATAAAATCTTCCTAGGTTATGATAAATAATTTATATATTTTGGAGTTCCCAGGAATGGGGATTATCTTTTTAAAAAAAAATTCAAAGAGAAAATGTTTCAGACTTAGATAAACTAGATGTAGAATAATATTTTTTCCATGTGACCAAAAGTCCTGTGATGTTAGAGCCCCTTGGCTTTTCTGAAAATTGACTTCTGGTTTTCTGTGAGCACTTTAACAAAAGGAAAAGTCTGTGGCTGTCTCGGAACACTTGCTCCCTTCTATACAGCTCTGCAGGCGAATGCTGCAGTGTCTTGTTAACCTTTTCACTTCCTATGAATTTCGGGCTGTGCCTACCTTTAAGTCATAAGCTCTATCTGTTTCTGTAAACTAGAGCCTAGTGCAAGGATTAATTAATAAAAACTACTTAATATGTGTTTGAACCACACACTCCTGTGAGTGATAGGGTGGGAATTTTTTTTTTTTTGGTACCGGGGATCGAACTCGGGACCTTGCGCTTGCGAGGCAGATGCCGGAACCACTAAGCTAAATCCCCAGCCCTGGGTGGGCATTTTTGAGGAATGGCTGAATATGAAAAGCCATGAAGTAAGCATGATTGCTATAGAAGGTTTTAGTATGGATGGATAGAGGGAAGGCTGCAAAAAGGATTGGAGCTCACTCTTAGAAGTTCTTAATGGTGTAAGCATTAGCTTTTATGCTGTTTCCCACCCAGAAGCTTATAAGGATCCCATTATAGCAAAGGAGCAGGTTTGTTCTGTAGATATTGGAAACTAATCAAGTGCTATTTCAATGTTGACCACTTCCTTTTTATACTGTTTGTCCATATCATGAAGCCATGTCAGGCAGCCTGATACTTGTGGGGTATGCTTCCTAGAGTGATTTCTGAGTATGAGAGTTTTTGTAGTAAAGATAAGATTGTGGAACAGAACATCAAAGAAGACATTAATGTAGCTCTGACCTAATTTAAAGTAAAACTTTGATGTGGGTATATGCATGATCTCTTTTTTTTTTTTGGTACCGGGGATCGAACTCAGGTCCTTGTGCTTTTGAGGCAGGAGCCCGAACCACTGAACTAAATCCCTGGCCCCTAGACTGCTTGTTTCTAAAAGGAAAATAACCTGTCCCACATCATCAAGGTAAAGGATATAATTTATTAAAATATTTCTTCTGTACCTCTTTAGCACTTTTTTTTTTTACTTTGATCAGTTTACGTCTGTTATAATTATTTAAGTCTTCATTTCTAAGTTCCAAGGATGGTCAAAAAACTGAATACAGAATACATATATGACACCAATGTTAACAAAGTTGTTTTTTTTTTAAAGTTCAGTTCTCTAATAGAAGCCATAGAAGCCTTATTTCATAATGTTTGCTGCACCCCCTGCTGGCCGTATTGTGGTACTTCCTAAATAAAGTTTCTGTCCTTTCTGGGGCACTACTAGTGAATGGATGGATATACACAGTATTTATCTTTGGAGTTATTTTTGTTTTGAAATACTTTAATTTCATTCCATATATAATAGAGTTTATAATTTAATTGAAGGTGACTTTTCTAATTTGTCAATTCTTGTATGAACAATGCTTATCTTTCCACTCAATATAATAATGCAATTGTTGGAATCAAAATATTTGCCATAATCTTTTTGGTAATATTTCATGTTAAACTCAGTAGAGGAGGAGGAGGCATTTTCCCCAAATGTCTCTACATTATTATAAACAATTACACTGTGAGCATCCTTGTACATACATCTGTGTGCATAGTTATTATGTGCTAACTATGAAACTGGAAACACTTGTGAGGCTTTAAGAAGAGCACTTTAAATCTTGAAAAAGAGTATTTCAAGGAAGAGTTGGCAGTGGTGAGGTCTGAAGAGTCCTAACAGCCAGAAAGGCAGCAGTCGTGGTTATTTGGCCTCAAGTGTGCCTCAAGCCAGGATCTAGAGTCAGGGTGTTTCTGAGTCTGCTAAGGGGCTTTATGTTTGCAGAAAAAGTAAATATTGAAGGGAACCATAATTTTCTAATCAGTGCCAGGTGAAGTGACAGCTCTTGAGCCTCAGTTTCTTAAGAGTGAATTCAGAGATGTTGCACTAAGAAAAAGTGATTTCCTATGACAGGTTAAACTAAGTGACAAAAAAGTTTAGTGCCATTATTTTATAAACATTGAGTAAATTAAAGCAGGATTCTGTCCTAATTTAAAGATTCCCTCATTCTGCATCTTCTTTAAATGGAAACATCTATTCCTCTTATCTGTATACTCTTCGTTCACTATTTTAACAAATACTTACTGAGATTATATACAATATTCTCACATTGTTTTAAGTTCTCTGTTACCACATTGTATTATAATTGATGGCTTACTTGTTCCTCCACTGGATGCTCAAATTCATGCTCATTGGATGGATGGATGAGTGGATGGATGGATGGGTGGGTGGAAGGATGGATGCTAGACATACGGGACAGGGTAAAACCCTAATGAATCATCACATGGCCTTTAACTTCCTTGAATTTTGCAATAATTTGTGTGTGTGTGTGTGTGTGTGTGGTTGAGTGTGGTTTTGGCTGGTTATATACACACATAGATGTTTTGACTAGGGTTAGCTGATTTTATTTTCTAATAAAACTATATTCATCCAAGGTAATCTAGTACTGTGAATCAGTAGAAAGTCTTAATCATAGGGTGTTTTAAAAGAAATTAGCTTATTAGACACACATTTGCAGTAACAACCTTAATGGTACATACTGACTTTTCTAAGTTAAAGTCCTATGCTTCTAAGTTTTTATGGTCCTTGCATAACAAAAGAAACATAATTGATTAGTATCTAACATGATATTGGTATGATGATTAGTATATGTGTTTGTATAAGTAAATAACATTAAAATGCTTTCAGATAATTTATTTTCATGGCATTTCAACCTACAATAGTGATAATTTTATTAATTTCAGGAAGTCAAAAATGATCTAGTGAATTATCCCAAAATCAGAAGTAGTATAGTGCTTAATTGTCTAATAGTATAGTCCTTAAATAAGAGTCTACAGCTCTGTGTATTATAGTTTAAGTTTATTTTGTCATGTATGATGTTATTGTAAGATATATTTTAGAATAATAGAATTTTTACTTATACCTGCACCTTTTGCCTATAATTTTATAAGTAAATTCATAGAATCTGTTCAGATCAGAAATAACTATGGAAGTTTGAACAAGCTGATTTTGGCATGTACTTTCATTTGGTAATGAGGACACTTGCCCCATAGAGAGTAGGCAAAACTTTCCAAAGTCCTAGTGCCTGAGCCACATTTTCTGATTAACCAGTAAGTTTTTCTATGTTGTTTCCTATGTTAAGAATAGAGAATAAAACTATCTTATCAAGTACCCAGGAAGAGTGCTTTGCTGAATTAATTAGCTTGTAATTATGTGTAACATTTCCATATTTCCCTTTGTTGCAGAATGCAAAGTATGGCGAAATCCACTAAATTTATTTAGGGGTGCTGAGTATAATCGGTAAGCATTTTAACAGCTTGGGACACAAATGGGTCTAGTTCAGAAAGCAAAGACAGCAGCAAATACTTTTGCTGGTTCATTTAGGGGTCGTATAGTGGTATTAGTGCTTCTATTTTTTGAATACTATCCTCAAATATTTTGATTTTTCTGTTTTATGAGTGGCATAGCATTAGACTTTGGATAATGTACAGAAATATGTAGTTTTTAGAATTTTTCTGCTATAATTATTCTTTTTAATATCTATTATACAATGAAAGCATTTTGAAGCTTACCTGGAACGTGATCATAAATTTTCCAGAGAAGTTATGTGAACATTTAATTTAGTGAAGTAATTAGGCAAATTAGGATTTTCATAGCTTTTGGAAAATGTCATTCATGATCCTAATTAGGGAAGTTTTTCCATCACCAAGGGTTAGTAAAATTTTAAGGCAAGAACATTGGGAAAAATGTTTACTTTTTCCTGTATGTAATTCCTGAAGCAGAACAGGATGATTAAAAAAAATTTTTATTTATAACTTTAGTCATCAGTTAATGGTTTATATTTTAATTCATCTGCAGCTTACTGTTTAGTATGTCTGACTTTACTCTCAAAACTATCTGACTATCATTTTTCTTACAGATATACTTGGGTGACAGGACGAGAGCCTTTGACTTATTATGACATGAATCTCTCTGCCCAGGACCACCAGACATTCTTTACTTGTGACTCGGACCATCTGCGTCCTGCAGATGCAAGTATGGAAAATCCTTCAGACAGTGCTGGGTGGGAGGATTTTTTAGCTTGTCTTAAATATTAAGTTTACTGCTTTCAGAATATCTGCCCTATTGAACCCACTGCACAACATACTAACTTGCTGATTGACTAGTAAAACCCAGAATTCTGACACTTAAATATTGAAATATTTATCATGTACAGTGAAGTATCAGTGTAGAAGTGGAGTTTATTTTAATTTAGAGCATGATTTAAAACAATACATCAAAGTTGTGTTGATGTATTTTGAAGACATATAAGTCTGACATGAAGCTAATTAAATTCATAGTTGAAATAGAATGAAGAGTTATTTCCTTGATGATTTTCTAATTAGAAATTAGGATTCACTGAATCCTAATGAAAATACAGTATTTTAGTGACATTTATGCCTGTTTATAGGTTTACTAGCATTAAATGGGAGCATGGCTTTGGCTACTGGAGTCCATGTGTATTTTCCATCCTAGGGAAGATTTTGTTTAGCATACATTTCATACTGCTCAAGTTCCAGATATTTCTACTGGTATATTTTATGTTATTAAACTGAAAGTAAACAGGTGAAAAAAATCTTTTAAAAAAGAAAGTTCTACATGCTTTTAAGAAACTCACTTACAAAATACAGTAAAATTCTTGAAGCAAATTAAGAAAATTGTTACTTTTTTTTTTAAAAAAGGTACTTTTTACCATGGCAGAACATCATAGTATAATAAATATTACCAACCATTGAATTTTTTACAATATATTCACAAAATGCTCTTGATTTGCAGGCAAATTTGAGAAACAAGTATACATGTGAAACAGAAACCTAAAGCACGTTTTATTGACGCAACTCCTAATCTTTCAAATGATTCCAAATTATTCTAATATCCAGAGCCCATAGCAAGGATGTACTTGGGAAAATGATCAGTAGAAACTATGCTGTGTCTAAATAAAATGAAATTAGTACCAATTCCGTTTCAAAATGTTTAAAATAACATGTGTTCTCTAATACCCAATGATGCTATTGTGTAATAGAAATAAAATCTCTCCTAGAGGTCCTTTTCTTTGGAGATTTGCCCTGACCCTCTTAGTAATGAAATAGTTTCTTGTAGCTGAAAGCTATTAATGAATCAGTTTGGTCTTCCTAATCATATATACCGATTGACTTTCTTTTTTCTCTTTTTCTAAAATAGTAATGCAGAAAGCTTGGAGAGAGAGAAACCCTCAAGCTAGGATTTCTGCAGCTCATGAAGCCTTGGAGATAAATGAGTAAGCAGGGGAGGGCAAATCTTACTGTTGAAAAGGAAATCTCCTCTTCTGCTGAGTATATTCAGTTGCTATTGATGGGATACTTATACTGGACTATACACGTGAACTGCGGGGGCGGTTATCTAGGGGGTATGTTTTATAAAATTTTCTTAGAAAATTTTATGGACAGCCATGTGATGGTGGTTTTAGTCAATTCAGGGTCTTTACCATGATTTTAAATGAAATCCTTTAAAGGCTATCTCTGGAATATTGTGAGGACATTAAATAAATATAATTCTGTATATATATAAAACATTTTGACAGGGAAATTCTTCCAGATGTAGAAAGATCATGTGTACTGTCACATTTTCTGGGAAAACTTCTGTTAGTGGGGAAACACAATGAAGACGTTAGATAAAAAATATTTTAAAAACATTTTAAGATCAAGTCAAAGATAAGAGGAAATGTTGTCCTTAGTGTTGTTGAACATTCTATGGGTTACCAAGGAAGGCTGGGAAATGTCTTCTGGAGATCTCAGAAAATGAGAAAGATTCTTAAAGTTAGAGTCATAAAAACATAGGGTTGGCCGAGACCTTAAAGGTCATTTAGCTCAACCACCCATCTGGCACTTGAATCACCTCAACACAATTCTTGCCAAGTGGTCATTGTTAAACTATTTTATGATTTTTCTGAAAATGGTTACAGAATCTTCTCCAGAGATCTTAGAGAAAAAAAAAAAAAATCACATGAGAGTTGGAATCCTACCATTGTAACAAGTTGATCTGTATGATTTCTTTCCACCTTCTTATCTACAACTTTGATATGCCTGCCTTCTGTGTTGTCATCCATGTTTGTAAGAAAAGGATCAGGTCCAGAAACAGAACCCTGTGAATGATATATAGAAACTATACTACAGGTTCATGGATCACCATTCTCCGGTATTATTCAACCAACTCCTAAGCTACGTAGTTATAGTGTGATTCAGTCTGTGTTTCTCCATTTTGATCTTAACAATGCAAGTTATAGCTGTGGATCATTAATTTATAATAAATCTACTAGAGAAAATGAAACTAGCACAGCCTGACTTATGTACTCTTAGTGAATCAAAGCTGGCTGCTAGTGGTTATTACTTTCTTTTTAACATGCTTGGAGACCATCCTTTTTATTAATCCATTAGACTATCTTTCTAAATCACTCTTCTATAGTTTTAGAAGTCAGCCTTCTTCCCTTTTCTAAAAATGTATACTGCATTTGTCATTTCATCTTCTTTTCATCCTTTGTAATTCCCCAGCTATCCATAGAGAGCAATTCCATGGCCTGCCTGCAGGGTCTTTTGGCTTTCTGGGATTTGCCCATCCCAGTACAGTAAGTCATTTAGAATTGATGAGTTGTTTACTGTCTTTATCTTTTTACCTTCCAGAGTTGAATTTCTTTTCTCCTTTTCAGTCTGACAATCATTCTTCTTGATAAGAAGTCAGGAACAAGATAGAAGTGAGAGAGTTTTTCTTTCTTTTTATTATCTACCACTGTTAACTGTAAACTTTCCTTGATTTGCTATTGTTTTTTGTTTGGCTTTTTGCTTATTTGTTTTTGGTATTGTTTTGGAGAAATGAGAGTGTTGTAGGGCCTTAAACAGAATTTACAAACATGGAGTAGTTGTCTTTAGTGGGTCTGTTTGGGCGGGGAATGTTTTTTCTTTTCAAGTCTCAGGTAATTTGCTATTTTAGCTCTCATAAATTCTTTCCACTTTCCTATATTGTTTAATAACATTCACTTTTTCCATCTTTTTTTACACATCCTTCAAAAATCTGACCAGTGAGAGGTCTCTGTGAAGCCATTTTGGTTACTTAAGTCTACCTCTCTTTTCTTCCCAAGAGGATCATTTGTGATTGCAGTTACAGTTGGATATTTGGAAGCTGCTCGATGCTCTTAAACCATTTTTCCTTTTGAGTCTCATGCCATTGAACCATACTTCTTTCCTTTGAATATTTTGAAGCCCACCTCCCCTTCTTTGATTACCTTAAACTCCAAAATGACATAGTAACTCTCTCTGAATGTTCCTACCAATTTTCATTTCACCAACTATTTTTTTCTTCTTGGTCAGAATTAGGTCCAGAGTTGAAGTTCCCCTAATTGCTTCCTCTACCATCTGGGAGATAAAATTGTTACCAAAGTAAGTCAAGAACCTGTCAAGAGTGCCCTACTTCTAAGCAAGTGAGACTTCTGGCAGATACCTGGATGGTTGACACCCCCATTACCACATTTTCTTGCTTCTGTATGTGTATTGTGTTGTGACAAGGATGCATCATCTATATCTTCCATCGAGCTGAGCAGTCTGTTCTGTAATCCCCAACCATTAGCACTTCTATTTCTCTCTTCTATTTCCTTCATTCACAAGCTCTTAGCATGTTTTTACCCCAGACTCATGAGTTCCCACATGGATGTTTGTTTCTTGGCCAGTAGTGCTACTCTGCCTCTCCTCCTAAGAATACTGTTTGAAATGTAAATAAGTAAAGCAAGCAAGTGAGCCTTAACCATTCTTGAGTTCCCAACCTACCAACTGCAGTCTTATAGCTAGTTCCTCAGATACTGTATCTACTACTACTCAGTATTGTAATCTCAATTTTCACATCATTACCCTTAGCCCATGTTTATATACAGGCATCTGAAGCCTAAAGTGTTTCTTCTGATGTCTAGCCCAGTTATTTTCTCCAGTGAATCACTGGACAGTTTCTGCATCATTACTGTTCTTTTCCAAGTCATATATACTGCCCTTCATAGTAATTGCTTTTTCAGCTTTTTTTCTGGGCATTTTTTTGCTCCCTCACCACATTCAGTTTGAAACACCATTGCTGGTTCCTGCCTAAGAGGGATTGGCTAAAGAACTTTTAAGACCCCTCCTTAAGGATAAGTTCAACTAGTGATCCCAAACCTCACACTATCTGTTAAGTTCAGGCTGCTTATTCTACCTGGCTGTTACAGTTTATGAATAGTAACATTCGGTTTTACGTTCTGTTTATTTTTTCTCTTGTGGTGACATGGAGATAAGTAGGGAAATGACCACAGAGAGACAATGAAGAAGAAGAAAAGTAAAGGGTGGGTGCAGATCAGAACCTGTGTGATCTGTTTTGGCCTCACCATTTCCCTAGTAGTCTCCCTTTCATTGGCAGTGGGTTGTTCTTTATATGATTGGAAGATTTAAATTTTCAAGAGTTTTCTTGGTTCTTTTGTTAACTGCATATCCTTTCTGGTGTCCTATCTTAGAGGGTAGGAAAGGATTATGTGAGATGATATATGTTAAGTGCCTGGTACAGTGCTTAATATACTAAGCAACAAATGGTAGCTTGTCGTCAAAGGCATAAGATTTAACTCTTCCTAGCTACTGTGGCTGAGTCAGATCTTAAGCTCTTCAGAAACATCAGTACCTGTACGTTCTTCTAGTGTTCTCCGAAGCAGAAAATAAGTGCTGTTTTGAGATGTTGAAGCAGTTTTTAAAATGAATAACTTGATTTAATTAATTTCTCACTCTGAAGAAATCCTTAGATTGAAGAAAATTTGTGTTTAGTAAATGAAAGTAAAAATATATGAACCTCTGACTTTGTTGGAAGGAGATATTTAATGGCAGCTATTATCATTGCCATTATTGACTGATTATTGAGCATATACCACAGGCTGGCTACTGTACTGAGCATTTCACATGCATCACCTTACTTTACCTTCACAACAGACTGTGAGCAAATATATTCTATATTGTTCTATATCTGGGAGGCAGAGTAATAACTTGCACAAAGTGACACACTAATGAGGGGCTGAGTTCATATGTGAGCCCACACCCCTAACATTACACATCCTACCTCCCAAGCTAAAATATAGACATTTCTTTTGTACCATTATTTTGTGTCAGCAGCTGCAAACGGGTGCATGAACCAATTGGCCACTCTGCATGTTTTGGCATAACCCCTTGCCCTTCTGCATGAGCTCCTATACTCTATTACTGGCTCTTGGATTTTTAATTGATAGTGGCTATTATCCGAATGGACAGGTGTGCAACTGCTTACATTCTCTTGGCTGAAGAGGAAGCAACAACCATTGCTGAAGCAGAAAAACTGTTTAAGCAGGCCCTGAAGGCTGGAGATGGATGTTACCGGCGTTCTCAGCAGCTACAGCATCATGGATCCCAGTATGAAGCCCAACATAGTAAGATTTCCTCCAGTTTGATGTGTTTGGGAGAGTTGTAAAGTGAATAATCATAGCAAATTTTTAAGTTCACTTTAAAATTTGATTCTCTTAGATTAGAATAAATATTGGCTTTTGCTTTTCTTGGTTTTTAATACCCCTTCTCCTTTTTACATGAGCACTTGGTACACAACTTCATTATGTTTATGTTCACAACATTCTTTCCTTCCCATAGACTCCCAATGCCAAAAATAAAAGGTAATAACCTTTAGCAGTAACCTTATATCTTCCCGGAATTTGTAGGTATTTCTGTTGATCAGTTGCTTCCCTGTCTCATAATTTTAAGTCTCAATTCAGAAAAAAGACTTAAATTACTGTTATCAAAGGTTTTATCTTATACATCTTCTACAGCATAAATTGAAATAGGAAAATTAAAAATATAATATTGGTGATTGTATCAACATTTAGCTCTTATTTAAGAAACATTGATAATTGGCTTCTACAAAGAAAATATTTTTAGTTCCTAATATATATATATTTTTTACCGGGATCAAACTCAGGACCTTGTGCTTTCAAGGCAGGCAGTGGAACCAGTTACTAATTATTTTTTGTATTAAAACAGTGCTTTTATTTAAGATAACTTTTTGAAATCTGAGACCTTTCACTTTTGTACACTAAACAGAGTCAGTGATATTATGAGGGAATAGTGTAGAAATAAGACAAAAATATTTCTGGAATTCTCTGAGCCCTTGACTTATTTTTGTTGGTTATTTAAGCAGAACTCAGTGGTCCTTCTGGGAGAAAAATGTTTTCATGTTCCAGCCAAAATGTGGGTTGTTTTCTTAAGGTGGAATTGTTCTCATTTCTTTCATCCCTCCTTCATTTTGGAGAGTATGAAAAACCTCCTTCATACTTGAGATTTTGCAATTATATTTTAATATTAAACTTGAATTTGGTAGGAATTGACTGCATTAATCGCTATAGTGAAGGTGCCAGGAAGATCTTTGCCTTACACTCTGTGTATACATAAGCACATCCACATACAGATTTTTATTTTTATTTATTTTTTATTTATATATTAATTGGTACATTTTAGGTATACATTACATTTACATTTATCATTGGGTGTTTGTACCTGAACATGATGTATCTTAGTTCTTATTGTTTTCCCCATTACCTATGTGCCCTTCACCCCCACCACCCTTCCCTATTTATATAGACTTTGTTTCTATGTTTTTTTTCTTTCTCATACTTTTTCCTTTCCCTTCTTCCCTTTCCCCTTCCCCTCCCGCCACCCCTCCACCTTTGGACCTTTTCCTATTTCAAATTATCAATCATTAATTTTAACCATTTTCATCCTTTTTTACACTTTCAGTTTCTCACACTAGAGATACTATTCAGTATTCACATGTGTGTCCTATTTATTTCACTTAAGAGTATGGCCTCAATATGCATCCATTTAGGTATAAATGACTCTAGTTTCTCGTTCTTTATGGCTGAGTAGTACTCCATTTTATAAAAAAAAAAAAATCTTCTTTATCCAGTTTCCAGTTGATGGGCACTTGGGCCATTTCCAAACCTTAGCTATTACAAACTGCTGCTATAAACATAGGTGCATATATATCGCTGTGGTATGATTCTTTTAATTCTTTGGGGAAGATACCCAGTAGGGGAATAGCTGGGTCAAATGGGACCTCTAGTCCTAGTTCTTTGAGGTATCTCCATGTGGATTTCCAGTCTGCACTTCTACCAATATTTTTTATTTTTTGGTATCGGGGATCGAGCTCAGGACCTTGCGCTTGCAAAGCAGGTGGCGGAACCACTGAGCTAAGTTCCCAGCCCAGATTTTTATTTTTATTCTGTAGTGAGTTTATATGTTAATGAGGCCTCTAGTCAAATCTATACCTTGCTTTTTAAAAAAAGTATAACAGTACATTTTGAAGATACATAGTAAATTCTATTTTGTGAACTAAATGGCAATTAATACATAAAATTATATAACTTAAGAAATTTTATTTTTTTTATCCTCTAAATTAAATCCTTTCAACCTGTTGCCTAAGTCTACCCAAAAGAATATAATCACATCTTTAAAATCATTTGTAGGTACTTGGCAGATTTTCAGCACACATCTTGTTCTCATTGTTTAAAACTTGAAATGTTCAGACGTTTGTCTTAACATCTTTTAATAGCTACATATTATATGTGTGCTTAATCTATAACAGGTGTGTCATATTTTTCTCAAACATGGTAATTTTATTGAGGATTAAGCATATGCATGTTCTCACTGATCTGGAAACATATCCAAGAAGACATATAATTAAATGAAAGATTAAGATAAGAAGTTGTTGATGTACTTTTTAAGGGCCATTTTAGTGACCATTGTTATAACTATTTAGCTTGTCAGTGTTTTCTCTAACACTAGAGTCGTTTTTCATTTTGTTGTATACTCTTGTCATATCTGGAATGTGTTATATTTCCATCTAAAATCGGCTGCTTTGGGGACCTGGAGAAGATTATGATGTCACCAGTGTTAGAGAAAGAATAATATAAAACAGAAGTTCAAGATGAGGCTTCTCTGGACTTAATGTCAAAAATGAAAAAAAATAATAGTTCATCAGAATGCAACCTGAGATTCACCTCAGTGCATCTTTACCAAAAGCATGCACCATTGAAGAGTGTGGAATTTTCTTGATTATGAACTGAATATAATGTGGGTATATTTATGTCCCAGAATTTTGTGGCAAAAGATTGTATTTATTATCAAATATTAGCATCCTAATTCAAAAGCATGGATTGCATATATGGGTACATTATTTGACCTTTAGAAGTCTCAATAAGATTACTCTGTATTCATTCTGTTATTAACAAAGCTGTCAGTGCTTCTGGCAGTAAGAAAAAGCTGAAGGACCAGTCTCTTCATTCTGAGGTTTTTCTTTAAGGGCAAGGCAAATGAGCCCTCTGTGTTTTTTCTTGCTGCTCTACTGAAAGCTCTTGATTTTTAAATTTTTGGTTTTTTATATCTCCTTTAGGACGTGACACCAATGTCTTGGTCTATATCAAAAGAAGACTAGCAATGTGTGCCAGAAGACTCGGGAGAACCAGGGAAGCAGTGAAAATGATGAGAGATGTGAGTCTGAATTTGTGTTTGGGATCTGTGGAAATGTTTCTGGGTTACAACTGTAGATCCCACTGAATGGACCTAACAGACAGATGATGGTATGGTGGTAATAGGCTCTTGAATCAGCTTCCAATTGACTAGATGAATGATCTTGGGCAAGTTACTCAACTTCTGTGCCCCAGTTTCCTCATTTATTAGATGAGATAGCAATAATAGTCCCTCACAATAACTCCTTAGGATCGCTGTAAGAGTTAAATAAGCTAACACATGCAAAGCTCTTATTAGGGTGACTGGTATATTAAAAAAAAATCAATAGATGTTCTCATTAGTGAACCTTTGGGCCTATAGCTGGAAACCAATAAGGAGATCAGCATTTTAGCTAACTTTTCTGTGTGGAGTTGTTAGGAAGGTTTGAATAAATTATGGATCAAATTGCTACCCTCAACTTTAGTAATATGAGCTAATCCTATCATAGTCATTTCAAGCATTTTCCTAGATTCCTTTGGGGGGGGCAAGGAAAAAAACACATGTCTTATATTTTATCTTTAGATTATTGAGAAACAAGGTACTTTATCAGTTGTAGTCAACATAAGAAGAAGAAAGGGAATATGTAGGAGTCTTTCAAAGAAATAGAACTTAGGGAGTTTATTGTGTAACTTCAGAACAATAGTTTTAAGAGAAACTAAAGAACTTTCACATTTTAGTTGTTACTGTTAGTAATAAATACTTTTCATAAACTGAGTGTGAATTGTATTTATAAGTCAGTTTCTTTTAAAAACAATCTTAGAAAAACCTTTGTCAGAATTCATTCTTCCACTGTATTCCTGAATTAGAAGACATAGATAGCTGCCCTTTATAAAAACAGAGAAACCAAGGGGCAAGATAGAGGTGACATCTTGCTCAACTTTGAGTTCATAGAGTTGAGCACAGGACTGTGTAAACTTAGCCAACCTTTTCTCTGCTTGTCTTTGCTTGCAAGTCAAGGTCCATCTGTCTTATTCTGCAAGTTATAGTACAAGAGGAAGGCAAAAGTGAGACCCAGGCTTGGATCTGCCTACTTCATTAAGCAGCAGTGTAGTCCTCAGATCTGATGAGAGAAATAAATGGAGGAAGATTATGAAAATAATATATGTTCAAATAGGATTAAATCCTTTTGATTGAAGGAAGAAGAATGTTTTATAGCAGTAAAGCTAATTTTAAGAAAAGGAGATTTCTGTGAGACATGAAATTGCTCTCAAATCTTCTTAGCTTACAGAAATTCCATCCCTGATATAACAAAGAATTCTGCTATCAGTTTCTGAAGGAGTGGGAACTTTATGAAGCATGCAGTATTTATCTTAAACTGTTTCAGTCATGTAAACTTTTAATGCAGTGTTGTGTTTTTATTGTCTCTTCTTAACTCTAATTAGCCTGAAATAGGCATGCATGGAGAAGCAAATTTTAATGATTTTATTTGTTATAAGCTTAAGCAATTTAATAGGAAAACAAATTTTGACTTTTAATTCCATTTTTAATCAGTTTCATTCTGCTTACCATTTTTAGTATCTTACGTAAAAAATCTCGTGATTAACATCAATACTTTTAATACCATATATCTACTCTGATTTACTTTTTAATTTAACATGACTTTATATTTATAATCCTTTAAATTGACCTAACCCAAATAATAGGTTTAAGAAGAAAGTCTAGGATGCAGTAGAAAAAACTGGGCAGGCAGTCAAAAAACCTGGTGGTGAATCTTAGCGCTGCTCTTTACTAGCTTTGTGGTACAAGGCAACTTACTTATTATGGACATCCCATTTAGTCTTCCATAAATTGAGGATAATGATTCATACCTAAAATAGTAATTAATAAGGAAAATTAGATGAGGTATGTGAAAACACCTGGCATACAATAGGTATGTGTATTGGTTAGCTTTCCTGTTGCTGGGACAAACTGTCACCCACAGTTTAAAAGAGGAGAGGTTTAATTTGGATCATGTTTTCAGAGGATTCGGAACATGATTGGGCTGCAAGACAGAATCTTCATGGCAAAAGGGTGTGACAGAGCAAAACTGTTCAGTTTATGACAGCCAGAAAGCAGAGAGGAGGAACAGCCAGAAACTTGCTTTTCTACTCAGCTACGTGTTTTAATTCAGTGAGGTTTAAAATCACCATTAATTAATGGTCATTTACAACATTTTCCTTTGTTTTTCTATATTACATAAGCTATTATGTAATTTGTTGTTCTCCTCATGGACATCTTGGGAATAATTCCGATTTTCTTTTTTTAAATTAAATTTTAAAAATTAAGTGTATTTTTATTTTTAACTGACTCACTAATGATAATACATATTTACAGGGTACATTGTGACATTTTAATACATGTACACAGTGTATAATGAACAAATCATGGTAATGAGCATATCCATGAGCTCAAACTGATTATCTTTTCTTGAATGAATTAATCCAGTGATCTCTTTCTCTATCTACATATGTGTCTACATATCTGTAGGTACCTTTCTGTATCTACATATGCACACATACATATTTTATCCATGTTTATATCTATATAGATAGGTATGTTTCTTGCATTACATTTCTAAAACAACCTGTCATATTCTTTAAATACCAATACATGTTGCCTTTTTTTCTGGGTTTATGGAAGACCCCAGAGATGTGGGCCCTGCTGATGTGTAAATAAAATATTAGTAGCATCAATGAAATGATGATGAGGTAAATGTACATTGATTCCTTAGCTTTAAGATTTGTGGCTTCTCATTTTCTTTTTTTATTGCTGTGTATTTATAATACATAATAGTTAAGTTCATAGTGGGGAATTGAAACACGTATAGAACATTTATCATTTTGATTACTTTACCCTTCTCTCTCTCTCGTTCCCCTGATAGCCTTCCCCATCTCCAAATGGTCTGCCTTTTGGTATCTTACCATCTCTATTTTATTTATTTATATTTTAGGTTTCTCATATAAAACAACCTATGTAATATTAAACTTTCTGTGTCTGAAATATTTCACTTAACATTTTGGTCTCAAGTTCCATCCATTTTCCTGCAGGTGATATGATTTTATTCCTGAATAATATTCCATTTTGTAGATAAACATTACATTTTCTTTAGCCATCCATCTGTTGATGAGCATTTAGGCTGTTTCCAGAGACTAGTAACTGTGAACTGCACTGCTGTAAACATGGGTATCCATGTATCGCTATAGTATGATTGCTTTATTGATGGGAATGTAAACTAATATGATGACTATGGAAATCAGTATTAAAATTCCTCAAAAACCTAAAAGTAGAAATTCCATTTGACCCAGCTATACCTGTCCTGGTTATAGTCCCCAAAGAAGTAAAAGACACCATACTATAGCAGCTTCTCATTTTCTAAAGCAACATGTTAATTGTTTTGAATCCCTAGGATGTTTACTTTAACTAGCTCTCTTTTGTAATCAAGAGCATATAAGGGCCAGGGATTTAGCTCAGTGGTTTTGCTGCCTGCTGTGCAAGCACAAGGACCAGAGTTCGATCCCTGGTACCAAAAAAAAAAAGAGTATGTAAGTACCTTACTGCTAGACTTTTGGCAGTGGGCAGAAGCTGGCATAGTATCTTTGGAACTTCACTATAAGGTGGTATTTGTTATTCAAATGAAAGAGTTAAATTTTCTGCTTTCTTAAATTTAAGGAAAAGTATATGTATTTATTTTCATTTTTGGTGATTTAACATTTGGTAACAGTTAACATTTGGTATGTAACATTTTTCTTTTTAACATCTACCTAAATCGTAGCCTAAAGTTTTTCCTCTATTTTTCCTTGGCCCCATTTCAGTCAATTTGGAATGGAATTCATAAGATTGATGACTGTGGTTGGCCCCCTCAAGCATGCCCTGTCAGACCTAGTGTGGATAAATTGGTATAGATGGGATAGTCTGCTCCTGTGAAAGAACTTACAAGTTCCTGTTGCCCAGGTCATTTGATATAGAGCATGGTTTCTCAACCTTGGCACTGTTGACATTCTGGGTCAAATAATTATTTGTTGGGGGAACAAGAGGGAGTCTGTCTTGTGCACTTAGGATGTTTAGCAACATCTTTGGCCTTTACCTACTAAATGCCAATAGCAATGTATGTTACTACCCAGGTATCTCCAGACATTGCTAGATGTCTCTAAGCTTAGGAGGGGGTGGTGGTGACCATTCTGCATTAAGAATCACTAGTCTAGAGAATCCTGAGGTGTGTACATTGCTTCAAAGGCAGACATTGAGTTTTTATCCATTTGTAGTCAGAACTTCCACTATAGATGGGCTCAAGGCTTCAAAACACCCCTTGGCTTGACCATTGTTTGGTGGGCTGTTTTGCCCAGATGAGATTCCCTAAGAGGGAATAAAATGGGCAAGAAGAGTAAAGGAACTTGGAAGCTTCAGTGGAGTTGTGGTGGAAGAGCTGAGAAAGAAGGAGGTCTGATGTGGGTAGTGCTCTTTGCTCCTCTGATGTGCTTCTGGATCATTGTTTGCCTCGATTCTCTAAAATCTGCAGCTCCTTAAATGGATGCATATTGAGGCCATACTCTTAAGTGAAATAAATAGGGCACACGTGTAAATACCGAATAGTTTCTCTAGTGTGAGAAACTAAAAGTGTAAATAAGGATTAAAATGATTAAAATGAATAATTGATAATTTGAAATAAGAAGAAAAGGTCCACAGGGGTAGGAGAAGTGGGAGGGGAAGGGGAAAGGAAAGAAGGGAAAGGAAAAATTGTGAGAAAAGGAAAAAATGGAAACAAAATCTTTGTAAATAGGGAGGAGTGGGCGGGGGGAGCACAGGGAATGGGGAAAAAATAAGAACCGAGATACATCATGGACAGGTACAAGCACCCAATGATAAATGTAAACATATTGTATACCTAAAATGTACCAATAAAAGAATTTAAGAAAAAAAAATCTGCAGCTCCTTTGAAAGTCAGTCATAGGTTCCCTGACTTTATCACCTGTTTTCTCTGCTTTTTGTAGTTTTCTTCACATCTT